TTCAATTTCTTGTTGACGACTACAAAATGCAAACGTGAGGATTACCTTTTTAATCAATAAAGAATGTTTGCACTGAAACGAACTCCTTCAATACCCACCATCAGCCACGCTACTGAACAACTTTTGAAAAGTTTTATATCTTATACACAAACTATATACATAAAGAATATTTTGACCTACATTTAAAGAAAGTGAATATTCAGGCAATCAGTGTTCCTACTATAGGGAATCCATTCAGCCCATACCATACTTAGCATCTCTATATATACTAACAGACTAAGATTGAGAATACCTAATCATACTACTTCTTCATCATAATTAGGGGGGAAAAAGGGAAAAAATCCAAACCAACAAATAACACCCCCCCAAAATACAAAACAACAACCACAACCCCCCCCCAAATCCAAATCCCACCCAACTTTGACTATCCTTAGGACTTCAAATGGTCTCAATTTTCAGCCATGTGTAGCAATAACATCCTGTAAAATCTTGCCTTAATGTTACCACCTCAGAGGTACCAAACTCACCACTAATAACTTAAAATAGAAGACAGAAGCAATAAAATTTGTGATTTGAATATTTTAACTAGAATTCCAGTGGTATAGCTGTAATCTAGATATCCAATCATTTACATATCAAATTTTGAGTACTTCAGCTCTCCTTAAGATTTTTAATGCAGCACTCTGTTCCTACTGTAATTATCCAAAATAAATTAAACCAATACCAAGCGCTAAATAAATCCTTGTGAACTACAGCTTTCCATGTTCTGAGTTTTGGAAACATTTTTAAACATCTTGTCTTTATTTTTGTTTAGCAGCAGTGTTATCACTTAGCCTGACTGCTGTTTTAAGTTTTCATTAAGGATACAAAGAGTTTAGCTAGATTTGCAGTTTAATTACCAAATGTAGGAAAAAAAAATTCCAGGTAGTAATCACTACCTAGTAATCAACAGAGCAATTACAGATCCAAAGATGAACAGTGAATACTGTATAGCTGTATTTTACATAGTGCTATTTATCTGGAATTATTATGGGCTTTGCGGAGAAGACTGTTGCTTTTAAACTTGACATTTAACTTCCATTTTAAGTATTCTGTGAAGTACAGAACAATCTTATAAAACTTATCTTCTGGATTGTTAGTGACAAAAATGCATGATTTAGAATAACAACTACAATTGCAGTATCTTCATATTCTGTCATTTTCATAACGCTTGCATTTTCCTATCTCATTTGGAAAAGCTTTCCTAATCTATCTTATTTGGAAAACAACTAATTTAAAAAAAAAAAAAAAGAAGAGTTACAGGATTTACCAACTTTTAGATTGCCCAAGGTACAATTTCCAAAGATGTGCCTTGGGAAATGATGAAGTATGGACTACTGATCTATATAGGCATGGGAAATACAGAGCTGAAAGGCTCCCAATTCCCCCTTTTCACGTGTCATCTTTTCAGAAGTGTACTCAAGTAAGTTAACTTCAGTAAAAAATTTTGGAACGCTCAACTCAATCATTTGGCCTGAGAACACAAATTTTATTCTTACATTCCTCAAGAGACAGCCATCTTACCTGGGGGCACATTAGACCAGTATTCACTTTTCCAAAATAGACATAAAATACCTTGAGGTGACTTTTTCAGAAAAAAAACAGACAACAAAAGGCAAACAAAAAACCTAGACCACTATCACCATCCAGAAAAATACAACACCCCCATTCTGATACAGCAGTATCTCTGCCAAGCCACGACCCTTTCTGGACAATTTTTTAAACATCCTTTATATACTAAATATTCTTTTATTTTAAAAGGTTTTCATTTCTTCTTACAAGGTTTTATTCAGCAACGAGTACTCTCACTGTCCTTTACCAATACTGCTTAGCGTACCTAAGAGGCTGTTCTAGAGAAAGAAATTGTCAGAAAGTTCATATTCTTGTGTTTTATTCAACTATCATAGCTTTATGTTTAACATTGGGAAATCCAGAACAAAAGTTAATTAATTGAATAAAGATAGTGCACAGTTACAAAAATACCCATGACATTCACGTCTGAAATAAATTCTCAAATATCCTCAGCAATGGATGATGTACTCATTGTGCCTGAAAACGTTTCGTTCTTCTCACCCCAACAAATTTCATTTAAATTTAATTAAACCAATCAAATGTGTTTTTTAACACTTATAGGCAATGATAATATTACAATGCCTTTGACCTCATCAAGGAAATTAAATTATAAACACAGATATAAATCTCAATGATTTATTCTGTAGTTTATACTATTTTTTTTAATCACATGAACTTACAGTATTTCATACAGAGGTATAACTTTATCATCCTGGCCTACTGATGATTCCAGAGCAAAAGATAAGTCATTAAGTTAAAAAAGTATTTTTAGTATGATCCATTTGCTTCTTGAAGACTAATTTTATGAAATCTGCAGAAAAGAAACCACTTATATGTCAGCAAATTTCTGAGGGGAAAAAGTCATACTTGCAAGGCCTTTATAGAAAATGAGCATTATAGGAAAGAACAGAAGTTAGGCTATGTATTAAGATCTGAACAGACACGAGAAGAAGAAAGTCACTTTCAATATATGAACTGTCCCCTAGTTTATTCAGTCAGCAAGAAAGTACTTCTTTCCTTCACTAATATGAGTCTACACTAACATACGTAACGCAATTTACAGATGACTTACTCAAATACCATACTTTTCTACTGTATTAGGTTTTATTGCTTTTTCTTTTTAAAATTAAAGGGTATTCCAGAAGTATGAAAATTTCATGCCCAATCTTTTCCAATATTGATTCTTCCTCAAAAGTCTACTGTAGCAAATATCGCTCAAATGTCATATTCCTCCTACACAGACTTCATGAGCATTTTAAAATTTCAAAACTAACTTAAATAGAAAATGTACTTACATATGAACTAAACCAGTTGTGAAACACTAAAATAAACTATTCACTATATTCTCAAATTGTTAAGCACATTCCAATTCATCACTGAAGATATGGAATGGATGGAATATTTTTTTAATTTAGGTACTGAATAAAATTATAAACCACAAAATCAGGATCAGTATCTCCAAACCCTTCAATTTTAACCTGTGTTTGTGTTACTATGGAAGTTTTTGACAACATTGCTGTCAAAATCTCAAGTTAGCAAAGGAGATTATCAACAAACAAACACAAAAGCGATAACTCGGTCTCACTCAGCCTTCTGAACGTCAACTAATATTTCATGAGAACGATAGTGCTGAAATAAAACTCAAAGTTCCACCTGAGAATTAACAGGATTACTTGACTTCACTCATACAAACAAGTGCTATTTCTGGTCTAGGTGGTCCAATGAGCAAGGGTAGCATTCGAAGAAGAATCAGCTGATCACAACTGTTCAAACCATTCTCCTCTGTGCTGCTTAAAGGTCTGTTTCATAACTTATTATGCTGCTAAACATCAGTGCATACCCAACGTTTATTAAAACAGAATTTATCTCTGCAGACTCAACAAATAGCCACACTCCCCACAACTTAAACTGAAAAGGGACAAGGTTTCAAACAAAACAAGTCACCGGCTGTCACTGTCCCATTTGCCAAGAAAATAATCCCTCAGTGTTAATATAATAGCTTCACAGTGCTTCTTGAAACCCTCAGCCGAGCAACTCCAGATGTCTCCGCTCGACGTACAAGAAGCCCCACGCCAGGGTGGGGAGGGGCGGGCGGTGCAGCACAAAGCCTCGGGCGCCGCGGCCTCGCCGCACAGGGAAGTTTGGGAGCAGCGCCGGCGGACGGGAAGCGGCAGAGCCGGCGCTGGGGAGGCGGCGTGCGGGGGGTTCGCCCCCGAGTGGGCGGCTCCGAACGCACCTGAGGGAGCCGGGCTTTGGGAAAGGGGCGGATGGCGGGAAAACCGGCTCTCACTAGGCCTCAGCGAAGGCCCGAACGCCTGTACCCCAGTGGCAGGCGGCCCTCTCGCAGGAGGAAGGCGCGGAAAGGCACCAGGGCACAGACCACCCTCCTTCGTCCCCCATCCCTCACTGCCCCCTCGCCCCCAGCCCAGGCTCGGAGCTCACATTTTCCGCTGCCGCTCGAACTCCGCTTTTTTCTCCTCCTCCTCCCGCTTCTGCTTTTCGTCCAGGCTGCTGCGCTTGCTCACCGTGCGCCCGAAGATGTCGATGCGGTCTGGGGGGGAGGAGGCGCGGTCGCGGTCCCGCTCCCGGTCGCGGCGGGAGGAGGGGGCCGTGTTGGAGCGCGAGCGGGAGCGGGACTCCCGGCGCCGGTTCCGCTTGCTCTCCCGGGACTTGGAGCGCTTACGCGCCCGCTCCTTTTCCCGGGAGCGAGACCGCGATCGGCTCCGGTTCTTCTTGTTGTGCTTGGAGCTCTTGGTGTGCTTAGAGCGGGACGAGCTCCGACTGCGGGACCGACCCATCCCGGCGGAGAGGCCGCGCCGACGACCGCTTGACCACCCCCGCCCCTTTCGCTAGCGGCGCCCGGAAGAGGTGCGAGGAGGCTCTGCACGCATCAGCACCCCCCGATATAGCCCCTCGTCCTGTCCCTTCCCTCCGCTTTGAGCTGCAAGGAGAAGGAACAGGCCCCAGGAGCAGGAGCAAGTCCGGACGCAGCCAAGATGGCGGCCCTGGCTCAGCAGCGACTCTCCTTTCCCGCCCCACAATGCACCGCTCCGCGATCGAGCCGCTCCCCCTCTTCCGCCGCCTCCGGCGATGCGGCGGAGAAGCCCGAGAGCACTCGACAATGTTCGGCAGCCAATGGGAAGCGCCGCTCGGACGGGGCGCCCCGGCCGGCCGGTGCCTTGGTCCGCGGGGCCCTCGGTGTGGGTGTGCGGGCAACGCGCGGGCAGCGCGGCCGAACGCCGAGCGGGGCACTGACACCTTTTTCTTTAGCTGATTTTTATTTTTTTTTTTTGGTCTGGTGGATTTTTTTGCTTTGACATAGGGGACACAAGGACTCTATTAGGAAGTTATGAAAAAACAGTTAGCACACCCCCCCCCCCCCCCATCCCTTAGCGACCCATCCCTTAAAGAGAAGGAAGCGCCTAAGATTCGTAAATGCTTATTTGGTCGAAAGCAACAACAAAACTCAGAGGGCCCGCAAACAAACAGGAAGTTTTATTAGTAAATTACACACTTGGTGTGGAAGTTGTTGTGTTAGTTCCTATACCTGCTACATAAGTACAAGGCAGTGCGTTTTGGATAAGGGGTGAAAGAAAAGAGAGGAATTAAAGAGAAAGACATGAATTAAAGAAAGAAAGAAAGAAAAAGGAAAAGAAAGGGAAAACAGAAAACCAGTCCTGGTTCCAGGGTTCATCCCTGAGGTGTTGTCAATCCTGGTTTCAGCATCAATCCAGCTGTGCTGGTCCAGCTGATGAGAAGTTCAGGGTCCTGGGGGTCTGTTTCCATGTAGCTAATGTCCAGTGTGGCACACTGAATGTCTGTTTTGGCTGTATTTATCGTGTATTTACATGCAGACGTTATTGTCCATTGTTGTTAACAAGTCTGTAGGCAAAGGAAGCGCTTCAGGTCATGCAGAGAGTATGAAATAGTGGTTCTGTAGGCATCTCTGTAGGATGTTTTTATCATAGTTCTGCCATGTAATTTTTAGAATTTTCTGCTCTAACAATGTTTAGAACTGGTGTTATTCTTGATTTCAGTAAACTGGTGCAATCTATAGATAGTTAATCTCACTTTTTACTTTGAGCAGAAATTTTAGCTCCTTGATATCTTTCACAACTGGTGCCTTTTTTTTTTTTAATAGGTAAATATTTTTACTAAGTTTATGTATGGTTTGCAAAACATTCCTTAAGTCACTGGACAAAATCTAATTTCACTTAAAGGTCTTCTTCTAATTAATTTGATTGACTTGCCTTATTTTTCTTGAAGGAAGACTTTCTTATTTTGAAATTCAGACTTAATCTAATGAATACCAAAAATAAATAAAATGGAAACATCTTTCTGATAGATCACTTTGCAAGTAACAGCAGCGTAGTGGATAGGGTCAAACCAGCATGGCAGGAATTCCAGAGTCACAGACCCTGGCCACACTTGTTTGTCCCCAGCCTTGGGAAGCTCATGCAACAGGTAACTAAGGAAGTTGATAATCAGACCTTTTAGACCCTGACCAGGTAGGTGAGTTTCTAACTGGCATGATTCCTGTAGCAACTTGGCTACAATTGTGTACTGAAGCTTATAAATTCATATGGTACAACAGGTTCTGATTAAAAAATGTATCATAATTTTTTTATTACTACATTATATATTGGATGTACCAAACCTGACCTGGAATATAGCAGAGGGAAGGGGCAGAACTACTTATTTTGCAGTCATAAGTATAAATGAGTTTTTAAAATATTTACCATAAACTGAGTTTTCTCCTTGGTAAATCACTATAACAGAACCTGTATTTAGCAACTTGGTTGCCTGAAGATATACCAATTTCATCTGCAGAATTTTATTCCTATTCATCTATATTGACTCATCAGTGCTATAAAATTCAATATGCAATATTTTATGAGAACAATTCATTATGGTGGATTGCGTGGAATTAAGGAATTATATAATATAGTATAATGAAATCATTTTCTCCAATTCCTTATTGTATTGCTCCATCTCATTTTTTTTAAGCTCCCGAAGTAATAAGAGCACAAGATTTTTAATACTTGTACTAAGTTAAGGTCATTAGTCTGCTCAATTCCTTATTGTATTGCTCCATCTCATTTTTTTTAAGCTCCCGAAGTAATAAGAGCACAAGATTTTTAATACTTGTACTAAGTTAAGGTCATTAGTCTGCTCACTTTGTTATTTATGAGGACTAAATTCTGGTTCTTCTGGAAAAAGCTCCTTTTCCCCTTAAAAAATACATTCCTGAGAGCTGAAAAGTTAGTAGAAAAGCATTTCTGTCTATGATTTCTTTTTTACTTTGAAGCTTGGTAGTTATTTGATTGGGGTATTTTTTTAATTCTATAATCTTATATTTCCCAACTTATTAGTAGTAAAATATTAATATTTAGAGGTTTTTTTCCCCAAGTGTGATTACAATTGATATGGAATTACAGTACTAAAAGGAAGTTTTCAGTAAATACTAAATTTAAAAGCCTTGATAATTACATAATTTCATTTCTTGTTTTCAGTTAATTAAAAAAGAAGACGGTAATTTCCTTTATTAGTTTCACTTCAAAGTTTTAAATATTTAAACTCATGCAATTTTTTTCTGGATTAAATAATGCTAGAATTTTTGAGTTTTTAATGCCATGTGTGTGGGTTTTTTCACAGTTTGCTAGCTATACAGGATTTCCATCCACTCTTGTGTTTTTGCATTTTTTTTCCATTTTAATATATCTCAGTATATTAAAATGCATAATTTGCTTCTTAAAACTGTTGCCTTAGAGTTGGAAAATACCTTATTTGACAGCCAGATTGTGCCATAATTATAGCACCTCACCCTTCTTTACCTTGGCTACTGTCATCATATGAAATCTCTCAACCCATAGGCATTTAGGGGTAGCACCATGGAGATACTGTGTTCTTACAATCTCCAGATCATACCAGCTCTTTCTTACACCACTGCTTCTGTCATTAGCTGGGTCAAGAGGAATCTTGGGAGATTAAAGGTGGATTATTTTGGGTTGTGCTAGTGTGGCACAGCTGGATATGAGATCTTTGTAATGGGTCTAAAATGAAAGAACTCTGGAGGGTAAGCAGGGGAAGAAAGTAAGAGCATAATAGGATAAGGTGTTTGGTATATAATTTGCTGTCATCTGGGGTAGCCTGTGTCACAGTGGTAAGAGGGCAGAAGTAGCACAGAAGAGCTAGGTTGTTGTAAGGGAAAAAAGTGGTTTGAATGTGTATTGGTTCTTTCAAAGCAGATATTTCAGCCAGAGTTTATTAAAAGTCAGAAACTATGAATACAGGTAGTTTTATTTTTTTTAATTTTAAGTATGAGTCAGTGCTACAATTCATGTCACAGAATCTGTAGATCACAGAAGCTGTACAGATGTAGAATTTGTATCAATCACTTTTTAACTTCATTATTTTTTATACATAATGCCAAAGTTGCTTATTATGCATTTTTGGTCAGGTGCTTTGTTTCTCTTTGAACAGTGCCATGGAGTTCTGAGCTGCTAAACTGCAGAGGTAGGGAGATGAACTATCCAGGAGAGTGGCAGAACAGTTGTGAGGAAGACATGGCAGGAGCCTGGAACACCTGACAGGAAGAGAAATATCTTTTCTAAGACTGGAGAGAATAAATCATTAAGACTGCTGCTGCAAAGGACTGTTGAAAAAGGGGGAAAAAAGTTTAATTGCAAGAGTGGAGAGGAAACCCTGTAAAACGACAAATTAAATAAATGAAAAGGCTTTTCACATTGTACCTATACAGAAAGGCTGAGCAGATTGTTTATATAACTATAGTTATTAGCTAAAATAACTCTCTTCCTCTTCTCTGTATGTTCAGTTGATAATCATGTACTTGTAAACGAGCAGTACTGCACACACTGCTGTTGGAAGTGTTTTGTAATTTGGATATGCAAAAAGACATAGCATGAGTTATCAGGACTAGTGTTTGGATATATGATAATCAAATTAATTTAAAACAATATCTATTTTCTTTCCCACATGGACTTATTTTTAGAAAATAAGTAAAATGTCCAAATCATGATCAATGTGGTAATTTAAATATTACATTAGTTATCAATGTCAGAGGACATTTTATGATTTTTGTTTTATGTAAGCCCAATAACCACTTTTTTAGTGTTTGGACTACTTTCTTCTTTCTACATAGAAGAAAGAAAGGAATGTTCATTCTCTTGCCTTGTTCACCTTGCCTAATCTATTTAGGTCCTGAATGAAAGCTCTTGAATGCTATTAGAAGTGGTGAATAAAAGTTTTTACCACAGCTTGAGACACTGATCTGCAAACCATAATGATGCATAATGAATCATTGTGCCTTTTTCTCACAGTATTTTTTTTCAGAATCATTGATACTATATGAAATATGCAGATTTAAGATCACACATAAGTATGTATGGACCTACGACTTTTTTCGTCTAAGACTGACACCAACCAACCCTCCTCAGCAGCTGCACAGTCATTGAGCTACTTTAATTCTGTAAGCATATTCTCATTTATCTGAAGGACTTCGTAGCAGTTGTGGTGTTGGTATGTGTAACTAGGGACTTAAGCCAATCTGAAATGGGTTGATGTGTCATCTAAGCTTCATGAGGGACTGATCCAATGTGGATACGTGGATAGTTCCTTAAGAAAAACAAAACCAAAATCATGAACAAAAGAAAACAGAGTAGCAATGAACACTGTTATTCAAAACCAGGTTGCTCATGATTCAGTGGTTAGCATAGTGGTTAGACTAGTTGGACAAGCAGGAAAATGGGATTCAGGTGTGTCCTCATTCATATCAATGTCTCTTCCTTCCCATGACCATATGTTAATCACCAGACCAGTGTCTAGGCTGGAGTATGGTGAGAAGGGAGCTAAGGGCAAAGTCCCCCTCTGCGTCCTCACAGATTTGACCAAGAGAAAATAAATGTTCAGAGGCAGGAGACAACATGGTTGTAACCTAACGTCTGTGGTACTCTGGATGCGGGAGCAAGTTGCTCTGGATTTCAGTCTATTCAAAAGAGTAGTTTTGAATTTTGTTACATAATCATGAGAAAAGAGACAGGGCTAATCTTGAAAGCTAGAGCACAAAACTTGGCAGGTGCTATAACTGCTTGGGTGTTGCATAACATACCCCCTCCCACAGCAGCTGCATTTCAAAAGGAGTGAGTAGTGTTCTGTTCTTCAAAGGCTACTTTAGGCACTGCCTCAGGAGAGGACTCCCAATTTTTGGCTCCTGAATAGATGAAGATGCCACCTTTGTGGTGCTGACTCAGACATCTTGGCTTTAACAGGGCGACAGCCACACCTCCCTGTACAGAATTTCCTCTTGGCTTGGTGACTCCTCGTTAGCATGTGTATTTTATGAATTCCTAAGTCTTGCTTAATTTTGAAAAAAAGAAAAGTATTTGATTTAAATACTGTTCTGGACATTTTATATCCAGAACATTTTGCATATTTTATTTGTAACCAGAATTTTTCCTGTTTTTCCCTCCTATTTCTTTAGACACACTGACATCTCTAGCAGTACCACTTTTTCAGTATGAAAATGACTGGGAGTGATTACTTTTATTTTAAAGTAGTCAAGAAGCAACTTGTTTATGATAAAAACAAGGTTACAGGTATGGGAAAACCATCCTACTTACACTTAAAAATTAAATTAATGCTACCACAATTTATGGGAATTGACCCTGAAGCATTTTTGAATGTTAACAGCTATTTTGTTAAAATTTTATTAAAAAAAAGGTCAGATGAAACCTTTTTCTTTTTTTCTTACCACCATGCAAATTGATGAACTTTAAAATTAAAACTTGTACATATTAATGGGCAGAAAATAGCAGTTATGTTTTGTTAAAAAGTGTAAGACAAATATTCTGTCTACCTAAAGCAAGCTAGTTTAGCAGGAAGTCTTCTGAATGCCAAATTCTGCCTCATGTATTCACAAAAGTAGCACTTCATTTTGCAAGCTGATTAATTAATTAATTTCCTTGACTTGTTAGGTTAAAGGTTGAAGGAACAAAGTTTTTGGGCGTGATGCAATTTTATTGTACAGTTTCATTTTAACAGAAGCTTTTAAACTTTTTTAAGTTTTTTAGAAAATCTCACTAAAATGGCAAAAGCTCAGAGCCTGTACTTGTAGAGGTCTTTCTTACTGATCTGAAGAGAAATGAAATACTAGAGAGAAAACAGACATTTTGAAGTCCATCATTCTGGGAGTTTTCATTAGTGTTCATTAGCATCTCTTCACTTTTTTTGGAAGACTAAAAATGTTTGGCATGTATTGTGTGCGTCTATTATTGTTCTTTATGTCTTTTATTTCTAAATTATATCAGTAGTCGAGGAGAAAAGACAATGCAGAAAGAATCGTGTCTTGCAGAATATACAACCTAAGGAGTCTTTCTGCTGTGCCTTTTGCAATCGGACACGTCTATCTCGTATTGGCCTCATTAGCCACCAGCGTGCTTGCAACAAATGTGGATAGAACCTTCCTAAATCTTCGTTCGCGAAGCCCAGCCATGATATCAGTAGTACTTGTCTGCAGATGGTTTGATAATTTTTAAACTGCAATGGTAGCAATTCTGCAGGTCAAACTGAATTGTATTTTCATGAGTGATCTGGGTGAGTGATCTGGGTGACTTGTCCCAGCTGATGATCTGCCACAGAGCTGTAACCATAACCGTGACTTCAGCAGTACTAGAACAGGGCTGTCTTGATGAATCTTGGTAAAGCTGTTTTCAGGTTTCTGTCACAGATCCTAATTGTGGCTTTTCAAATTCTTAGGATATAATCTCTGTAATGTGGGAAACAAATGGAAGGGAATAAATCAATCTTTCTTCTTTATCTCTTATTTGTAGTATCACCAACTTTTGAATGGATGAAACATATACTTCAATTGTTTAAATCATCACAAATGCATAGTGTGGTGGTATATTTGTGCTTGGAGAGTTCTCTGTATTTTGCATTGTGTCCTGTTTTTGGAAGCAGCTAAGGGAAAAAGAAAAAAACTGCCCATACTGTATTAAGATACTTGAAGAAATACGGTGTTAAAGTCAGGCACTGCTGATTGTGAATAAGAGTGGCAGAACATAGTTGTATAGATGAAACTGAATAAATCTACAATAACATTTTGGCTAGGAATAAAGTCTTATGTTTTTGCTGCTGAAGCAAATCTCTCAAACATCCATTTGATTGCATTTGGAGTGGTCTCAAAATGTGTAACCTGGATTAATTTTGGGTAAGACTAAGTCTGAAATAAAAACTGAAATATAGTAGGTTCTGTTTGAACATAAACAGTTTTTTTTTACTGTGAGGGTGACCCAGCACTGGCACAGGTTGTCCAGAGTGGTTTTAGAGTCTTCATACTTGGAGATAGTCTTGGCAACCAGCTCTAGTTGGCCCTGCTTGAGCAGGGCAGATTGGAGAAGATGACCTCTGGAGATCCCTTTCAGCCTGAACCATTCTGTGTTTCTGTGAAATTGGATGATGTGTTCTAGAACTCTGTCTGCTATTAGGGCTTCAGTCTGCAGGACTAGGCCAGAGCTAGTGGAAAGTAAAGCTCTTGCCAAACGCAGGTTGCGTGGACATCTGGTTCTCAGCAGCCGCTCTCTTAGTTCACAGGCCTTCTATTGCTAAGTGCCACTTGCCAATGCAGTAGCATCACGTAGAGCTGAGTTAGCAAGTCCTTCGGTGTTGGTTTATTTGCTCAGGAGCACATAGATACAGCAGAAAGCGCAGGCCAGAAGTTGGTACAATTAGTTTGTATATTGGATCTGTACAGACATAGCCCCTTAAGACATTTTTTTCAGGTTACAAGGCTGTGGTGTTTGGCTGCCAGCATCTGATAGGTAGGCACCAGGCCAATCTAAATGTGTATAGCATTGGAATATCCAGGCAATCTGAATTTGTAGACTTTCCTGCTGGTTGCTTGATGACTTAGCACACCTTAGACTCTTTTCATTTAGCTCCATGTTGGACAATTATGTATTCTTTATGGCTGGCCAAAGGTAAATGGAAGAAATGAATAGGAGAAGATAATACTGAGGTTGAATGGCACAGGAGACGTGGGAAGAGATGAAAGTATTGCACTAGATGGTGGGGGAGGATAGCTTAGACTGGTATGATGCAAGTTCATCTGCACACAGTTCTGGAGCTCCTGCTGTGTATATTAGGTAATGGAATAATGCACTGACATGCTCTGACTGCTCAAAACAGGACTTCCAGGGCAAAATGCCATCCATACTTACTCACCCTGCTGGATAGCATTGTCTGCAATTTTTCTCAGGCTGTTTCTACAGGTATTCAGTCTTGGTGGTGCAGAGAGACCTGAAATTCTCTAAGAAGTTGTACTTCAAGAAAAGGTGACTTTGCTGCATCTGTATAAAAGTGCTACTGTAAAGAGCAAGTGTGAAAAAAAGTCTGGAGCTTCCCTCAGGCTTGAAGCCAAGAGCAGGCTTGCAGCTGATTGTGAGACATCTGTCGTCAGCAGGAGCTGCCAGTAGTGGAGCTGGGGGCTACAAATGAGAATGACAGAAGTACATGATGACCTAGTGAAAGAAAAGGATTTTCTAGGACAAAGGCTAGTAGTTCACGACAAGAAGGCAAAATAAACTATGTATGTGAAAGAAGACGATCAGGTATCTGTGGGGGGGTGGAGGAGTAACTAAAGCATAGAAAGCCACACCAAGAAATAGGCTGTGAGTGAGCAGTATTTGGTACAGATAGTAAAATGCATGCATTGGTGAGAAAGGAAAGAGCGTGGTGGGAAAACAAATAGGAAATTAAGAGGAAAAGAGCCAAGAAATGAAGGATGCAAAATCCAAGAAAACACTCACTGCATTAAGGGAAGAAAAACCCCTCAAAAATGTATATGTACTATATATATATGTATACACTACTTTTCTATGGGGTCTGTTGCTAGTATTGCCAGAATGAATGTCAAACAGTTTAAATGCAATGGTGTTTGAGATGAACTCTCTTCAGCTGTACGTCTCCTAGGCAAATGTGTGAGAACTGATGATCTGTTCATCTTGTTCAGATCACATGAATGTGAACGCAGCGGAGCTTTGACTTGGTGTCCCTCTCTACAAATATAGAGGGGAAAAAAATGGAAAATGGAAAGAGAAGCCTTTCCTGGGAAGAAAGGGAGGGATCCCATTATTAATGAGAGTCATACAACATCCCTTCTGAAGGCATGTTGAAATTTCCCGTGGGAGGAAGAAGAATAAACAAAGGTCAGTATTACTAATAAAAGAAAAACAATTGGCAGCCAAGGAAACAATAATTATTTGATCACAGTGTCCTGAAAAGCTAGCAACAGAAACAATACTATGTTAAAAGCAACAGGCTGAATGCATCTCACTTGGAACCAACCCTATCTCTTGTTACACAAGGATGTGTTTGCCTTACTGCTCTGAGAGTAGTGCTCCTCCATGAAAATAAATACGTCCTGGCTTTTCACCTTTGCTACTTTACTTCTTATGACCACAGTGTTCCTAAAGGTCTATTGTGTTTTACTTCTCAACACCATTGTGAAACGAGCAAGGAGTAACTATTATCTCTGCTTCACAAATGAGGAACAGAGCCTGCAGGTGAGCTGCATTTACAGCTGCACAGCTTATGGCAGGCAAGGGACTTTCCAAATCACAGGCCAGTAGCTTTCTTTGCTCATTTTCTGTGGTGGCAGAATCAGTAATGGAATGTTAGTATTGGGAGGGCAAGTATAATGTTTTTTCTTGAACAGTCAAGTTTACCTGACAGGAAATAAATGAACAAAGTTTTTTATTGAAAAGAAAATTTAAAAAAATCCCCAGACTTCAGCAATTTCAAGAGGAGATCCATATAGTCTTGAAAAATACATTAATAATTAAATATTTATGTTTGTATTGCAGCAAGATGCTATTTAAAATGAGTACAATTTCGTTTCAAATTCAAACTGTCAAAGCCTGTTAAGGCCAAATTGTAACAGGCATTGTTATTTATTAACGGAGAGGTGTGTGGTGAGCTTGACAAAAGAAGGCCATACAATGCTCTGGCCATGTTTCCAGCCTGCCTGACGATGGGACTACAGCCCTAACTCTACCCTCAGTCAGATGTAACCTATTTGAATGGCACCATCTAGTTTAGCTTTGTCACAGTGCAAACAGTTGTTCTGCATTCTCAGTGATCTTATCTTTCCTATCAGCATATAGTGAGCTGTGGGAAGGTTTGTTCCTAGGTCACTGGGGGCTACATAGAAAACGCTGTGCTATGTCACTGTGCAAGTGTCACTTTCTCAAGTCTGAGTGCATGCTAAAAGTGACAGAGGCAGTACTCTGGAAAGAGTTCAAGCTAATGCTGTTGGGAAGGGTGAGGTTGTGTAACATACACTCAGTGCTCTGGGCTATAGAGTGGATGGGTATTGGATGTTCCCAACACACCAATTACTACCCTTCTGTGGGGACTGTAGCACACTGCTTTTCATCTTCAGGAAGACAAAGCCCTGTGGCTAAATCTTTACTGATTATTTTTTTTGTTTGTTTCAGTGATGTCCGTTTCTTATGTTACTACTCACATTAGAGTATCTTCAAGAGCTTCAGAGTTATCTTTGCTTTCTTTAACTGCATCTTGGAGTTTTTCTTCTATCTCCTTCGTATCTATGTTGAGCATCTCTGCCCACTAAATGGGATCAGTCTTTTAGGATTGTCGCTTCTTGTTAGAGCGGTTACCTTGGAGAACAGAAGAGAAAGAAAAACATCACTTTGAATTGTCAAGACTTTTTGTTACAAAGTCATTATAAAACTGAATAGTGTTAAAAGCATAGTCATCTTTTAGAACTTAGTTGCTGCATAGGAGCGAAACATACCGTGCAAATTGCTGTTTCTAATAATACTTTGATGATGATGATGTTGATGATGCCTCTGGCTTTTTAGGTATTTTAATGTTAAATATATTTGTGTTATTGAAAGAAAGCCAAACCCGAAGCTAAGCTGATAGTTGAAGACTGATAGTGGTTCAGTGGTCATTGTTCTGGGACCCTTGCATATGGCTGTGTATGAAATTGATTGTGTTTCATTTTGTAGTGTTAATTTATGATAGGAATTTATACTATATATGAAGGTAACTGCTCTTACTTCTGACATAGTTCTGCTAAGTTAGATATCAGCACTATTTTCCAAAGAGGTCATAAATTTATCTTTCATTAGACATTTGCGT